AAAAGTGCGGCAAATGGACGCTACGGTTGAGAGCTATCCCCGGACAAAAAATCTAAGTGATTGCTCGACTTTTTGTAATTTGTGCCTCAGAAAAGTGAAACATCGTGGGAAAGTGACTCGGCAAGGGCCCGGCAATGCTCGGCAAGGGGCCGAAAGGTGTCCTATGTGCTTCTGGCAATCAAATAACTGTCCCGGGTCACTTTTGGGTCACTTCGTCCCTGAGAATTCTCGGAATTGTATCAGACCCAAAGTTACATCTCGTGACATAATTACATCATGTCACGTTGACTGCGTTCCGATCACCTGCAAAAGCCAAAACTGATTGGCGGCAAATTGGGAGTTAGAACACAAAAATTGGTTGGTTTCGGCTTATGGGTATTTCTTGGAGTTTGGGGCAAAAAAAGAGACAAAATTTTTGTTCATTGGCTCAAGAAAAGTGAAACACCGTGGGAAAATTCGGTTTGAAGGCATAAATCGACGTTTTTCGTTGAGCTGGTTCCGGGAAAAAATATGATAAATTCTACAAAAAATTCCCCGCCGCTGCCGGCGGCTATCAGAGAAGTGCCTGGGTGCACTGTACATACCCGGAAGGAGATCAGGCCCGAACGCCGGTGAGAATCTGCCAAGCGCGATTTCGGCATCCCGCTGATCTCTCACGAACTGCCTCTCTTTCTCAGATTTCAGCGGGCAGTCGGACACATCGTACACATCCGGATAGATCCCCGCGCGGGTATCGGCCCAAGGGGTACCCATGATAAGAATGTCACACACAAGGTACCGTGAGAGCGAAAATTTTCCCCAAAAGGAACCCCCAAAACTAACTATTTTTCTGCACGAATTGGGCCTTTCTGCATGGCTTTCGAAAAAAATGTTTCGAGCCTCAGACCCTCCCTACGTAATTAATGATCGCATCAATGCCTATATAAGGTGCCTGTCAAACCATATATAGTATATCTGAGATGGCATCAAATGTGCACTCTCAGGGTACCCTGTGTGTGACATTCTTATCATGGGTACCCCTTGTATCGGCCCAAGGCCAGAAACCCTCACGGAGACCTGTGATCACGGAGCTAACGAATGGTTGGTTGGGATGGTGTCGAGTACGACTAAAAAAATCGAGGCCCCAAGGTGACGCCTAGCTCAAGAGCGGCTTTGAAAATTGCACGTATCCAATCGCGTATTACCGCATATGCTCTTCGAACTGCACTCATTTGGACGCCTCGCTGTCGGGAGCTTTCCATGGTGGCGCGGGGAGGATGTCAGCGTCGATTTCGGCATCAGAAGCAGGGATGAACGGTGGAGTCAGCGAGCATGAGTGGGTCTGCGGAAGGGGGAATCGGTGCATCAGACGTGTTACTGGAGGCAGGCAATGGATCTTGCCTGTCCGCCATAGGCGGAAGTCCACCAAGAGGCATAGCCCCCAGCAGCTCTAGAGATACACATACATTCGGATTACTCATAACGCATAGCATCGGTGGACCCCCAAACCCTATGCATTATGAGAATTATGTGTTATTGGATACTTTTACAGTGGTGAAATGCAGTTTGATGGACCCCCAAACCATATGCATTATGAGGATTATACATTATTACCTTATGCATTATGAGCCATCCGATTTCATGGGTAAAAAATATTGTTTAGCAGTGTCCCTCTGCGTGTGAATTGGCTATGAACTTGGGAGGGGTCTTTTACAATGCCTTCCATTAGATTGGCACCGAAAATTCATATGACGTGGATTGGGCCTCTTCGAGGCGGGTGCTGAACCTTTAGGTGGGCGAGAACCAATCCTTTTCTATTTATCGTGACTTCTGCTGAAGTCTGAGTGAAGAGACATCAAACAGGCATTAATTGAATAATCCTAGTATTGCACGACTTGGAAATACAGAGTTGGAACAACAATGGTACAGTATTAATGCATGGTATGGAAGCACAGGTATGGAAGCACAGGCGTGTTTCGCGCTGACCGGACATTCCATCTCGCGAACGAGGAATACTGAGGGCTGTGATGGTAGCTGAGGGTAAACAAGTAAGTACGTGGAAATTGTGATGCATAGGGCCACCACGCACCCATCGATGATGACTGCGCAAACATTGAGCCGATTGTCCGGAGATCAAGCGAGCCAGAAGCTAGATGCACGACGGGTTGCGGTGCAGAGTTCCAAACAAGGTGGAGCCAGTCTAAACCAAGAATCAAGTCGTAGGGGAGAGAGGCGGTCACAGCGACGTCGTGCAAGCATATAGAGATGCTGCCCGCATCACACGGAAGCGTCAGAGGCCCGGAGAGTTGAGAGGCGCGTGTACGGAGCCCAAAATTGATGACCCAGTCCAGGGAAACATAAGACCTTGGAGCACGGCCGTCGAATCCAGTAGATACAGGCACATTGCAGAATGTAGTAGGGGAGGACATGGGGGGAGAAAGCAAAGATTTGTGCGCTGGCAAAATCAAGGAGACGACTCGGATGTTTCATGATGATCACCGAAAGTCCCACGTCAACGGATACTAGCCCGAATATCAAGCAGAAATGACTAAGACGCAAAGTTGAAGCGCTGAATCTCTTGAATAGAACGAGGTGGCACACAGACAGATGGATCAATGAGAAGGCTTCTTTTTTACAGCCGATTCCGAAAATAATGAGAATAACTTTTTTTTTTTCCGCGCGTTCCCGGTTTGGTAATGCCATACGCGGGTTCGAACCCAGGCAGTGACATATTCATTTTTGGCAGTCCTTCGGGGTTCTAAGAGACCGTGAGCATGTAATTGAGGATAGAACATCGGAGAACAGATTTAAGGCTAAAATCCCAATAGCAGGGAGAGAAATGTACAACTGTACTACGTCTAACTACATAGCAGTGTTTGATGCACAAGGTATCTGCCAGGTGAGTTGATGATACACGTCCTCAGCTAGGTGTGCAACACACCAAAGAATTCAGAATCTACTGTGCATATTCCCCGCCCTTATTTTTCCTGAACTAAGCAGGATAAGTGACACATTGATTATCTTGTATTTTCAATTGACGGCGCCTGTGAGACTGAACCCTTGCATCAAAGGGGGCATAAAACTGGACTGAAAGTACTGTAGTGCTCAGGGTGCTTTGAGAAGTTCTGGCTCAACCCTGGCCTTAGTTATGCGTCAATTTGGTAGGGTTATAAAAATGTGCGACAGCTCGGGTTCGAACCCGCGACCAACCCGGTATGGCATTACCAAACCGGGAACGCGCGAAAAAAAAAAAAGTTATTCTCATTATTTTCGGAATCGGCTGTAATGGGGAGTTCTCAATTCCTTTGTTTCCCTCTTTCCTTGCTTCATTTACTTGTTTTGCATCCCTTCTCCGCTGGGATGACCAATTCTTCATGACAAACAGATCAAAAACTGATACGCAAAGTCAATGTTCTCCTGGGCAGCCAAACCTAAAGGTTCAGCAATGGGCAATGTTGCGGACCGCAAATTCTGAAAAGGAGTTGACTAGCGTACCTTATTGGTAACGTGGACAGTTTAAAGTTTTATTGTTTTGAAGGATCGAACACGATCACCTGACCGTGGTGTATCGACTGTGTCATACGACCACCAAACAGACCTCAACACTACGTGGCCTCAACGCTCGAGCACGGCTTTGGGCTCGGTGTGCGGAACATCGCTCTTGAGCTCCTGGGCTGTCTGCCGTCCTGGGCCTCGAATAGTGATGTTCTTTCTGGCTTTGGCCTCTAAAAATCCGAGCCAGGCCAAAAGCCAAGCCAAGCCAAAGGCTGGCTTTGGCCTGAAAGCCAACAGGCCATGGCTTTTTGGCAGTATCTGACGCGCATTTTTGGCTTTGGCCTGGCGAAATCTCAGGCCAGGCCAAGGCCAGGCTGAGCCAAAGCCAAGAAAAGCCAAAGCCGAGCCAAAAAACCATAAGTTTTTGGCTTGAGGCCAAAGCCAGAACATCACTAGCCTCGAACCGTGGTAGCAAGTCGATCTGTGGGCGCGAGGCCTGCGAGGCTGAGTGGGAGGGTCGACTAATACCCCCGCTGCATCCAACGCGAAAGGTTCGGTTCCCAGACCAATAACCAAATGCAAAATCGAACGCAAGGTCGTGCGGACATACTTACGTTTTCTTTCAATTTTTAATTTCTGGAGGGCACGTGTAAATTAGACAGAATTTAGGGCCGGTCGTTAGGTGCACTTCGTCCTAGGCAAAGTGTGCGGCGAGAGCGAAAGTGTGCGGTGAGAGATGCAGCTGAAGACGCCGATGACGGAGCAAAAATATACAGGCAATGACCTACTACGGGGCCCACAAAGTCGTGGGGAAAATGGCCAAAATGACAGGTTTGCGGGCCCCGTAGCAGGTTATTGCCTGTATATTTTTGCTCCGTTCAAGTTGGGAGACTGATTGGCTTAACCCAGGCTACAAACTGGACGATTTATATTTCCCCTCAAAAAAGTATTGATCGAGCTGAAAAACACGAATTTCTGTATTTGGCCCATTCTGATGGGACATCAACGTCCAGTGATCCCATCAATGTGGTAGGAATGTCGATCTCGACTATCTAAACAATGTGGCCTCTTGTTTTGGGCCGAAATCTGCTCGGGTCGTCTGGAAATGGCCGAAAACCCATCGGTCAGTCATTTTCAAAACGCCCAATCTCCGGATAATTATGTGCTAGTTCCATTATCCTGATACTTAGGGTCAGTTGGATAAAATCAAATCCCAACGAGCACTTGCCAAGCCCCACTCCCACATCCAAGATCTAGAGCAGCCGTGCGCTCGTCGTGGACACTGTCTTGGAGTAGTATCTCCGGAAGATCTGGGATGTCCCCAACCACACGCCATAGGAGTTGTGTTGTTCATCTGAATGCACTGGTATCAGGTTGCAAGGTTCAAATGAGCCCAGGGCACAAAATTGCGCGTTCCGCGTTCCAACTTAAGAAATGGAGGACTACACCTTCAATTTATACGCTTCGCCCCATTTTTCTCATATTGTCAGTTGTTACTCCTTCTGGGAGTTCCCATTGACACTGTCGGCAGAATAGCTCAGTTGGATAAGAACATCTCACATGATATAAGAAGGTCCTAGGTTCAAATCCCACTTTTTCACCGACGTTTTTTGCGCTGCTCGAATCGTTGGTCACAATCTTACAGTGATAGCCAAAATCATGGCTGTGTAAACTTCTAGAAAAGAACGATTCCTTATTACATAAGTACATAACCCACAACGGAGGCCTATTCTTCATTTCCTAGCATCACTCAAAGTTCATGCCGCAATTTTATTTGAAGTCATTTGGCAAAAAGTAATGCCCGCGAGGGTCCATCAGTGCGATGATTTCGAACAATATACATGACCGACTTACCGTAGGCACCGAATTATGCAAAAGAATCAACTTGGAAGTAAGTAGATGGCACAGGCAGGAGAGGGAGAGACAAACTTTTCAGTGGTGTGCTGTGTGTACCCGACCGTGGTGGAAAAACACCAATGTCTATCGGTGTCTATCCGGTCTATGGGAGACTGCCCTGTTCTATATAGACCAAATAGACACCGATAGACCGGCGATAGACTCGGCTAGAGGAAGGGTGTTTCCAGATGTGGGGTGTTGATCGACCGGTGAATTTCTTTCCGCCGGTAGAAATATGGGTCGAAAGTCCGGGATACAGGTGCAAGGGTGAGGCAGAAAGTCGGAGTATAGGTCCCAAGAATCTCGTAGACGCGTGAAAGGGAAATTGAGGCTAGATAGGGGAAAATGCCGTGTGGGCGTGGAGTACGGGTGTGGCTCGGATGGCTCGGTAGAGGCGATAATGTAGACCTCGTGTGGTTGGTGTTCACTGGCGACATGCTCGTGGTGGAGCGCTCGATACACTGGTTGCGTCGATCGTGGTGGCTCGGGGGGAAAAGCATGTTATTTTGACATATGTACCTACAAAACAGATACGAGGTCTGATGGCCACCGTACGGAAGAGTAGGTAAGTAAATATAGAAAGGGAGGAAGGCAACGAGCGCTCCATCCTCCCCTTCCACAGCGGTGATCACGTGGCAGCCATGAGCGCTTGATCGGCATTAGGCAGAGTTTAAAGGGCTTGGTGGGTTTGGAGGTTTGAACCAAATTTGGGCGAAACCACTTTCTCCATTGCAAGAATGCTGGGAATCATACATTGAGTCAAACTTGAAAACTGCATGCAATGCTCTAGTCCAGAGTCTGTTTTGACTCCCTTGGTCAAAATGGCTTGAATTATTGAACAAATGGTAGCATTTGCTTGCCATTTGGAGACAATTACAGACATTCCTTGATTGTTGAAAATTGGTAACAATTTTTGGAAAAATGGCAAAGGGGTTTTTTCCTGTGTCAAGGCTGACTTCGCGTTGGTCACCTGTCATCGGACCGTGATTGTCGCACGATGCACCTTCTTTGAGAAACTCCGCTTGCGACCGCACGTACTCCCTGAGTCCTGAAGCCACCTCCCCGTCGTCTTGTTCCGCCATCTGGCCAATCAGACGAGCCACACATCCCCTGGGCGTGGCTGGCGCGGGATGCAGGCCTTCCCAGTGCTCACAGTCGCGACAGAGGCGAGGTCCTGGGCCAGGATTTTCCGGTGGTGTCACGGGGCGGGAGCCCCCGAGAAGGCCGAAGCAAGAACGAGAGACGGACGAGAGAAATCTCAAGGGCCAGGTAGCCCCGAAACTGGCGCGTTGATTCGACGAAGCGGACCCCGACGAACCAAAGAACTATAAGTACATGGCAAGGCAGTGCTACAGGTAACGGTCTCTAAGTATTCGTAAATATCGTAAGGCGGGGATCATGGAATAATACAAGCGATGTAAGGGAGGACCCCCGTTAATAGGTGGGAAGGCCTGTTTTTTTTTTTGGGCCCAAATGTCAGGACAAAAATATTCCCACGCTTTTCTGAACCGGCGGAAACGATTCTTTTCACAAAGCGAACGTTTCGAGTTTTTTTTTTGGTCCCAAAATTGTAATGTCAGGATTTCCATATCAGGCCTTCCCACCTATTATCGGGGGTCCTTGTAAGGGGCATGTCAGAATCGATCCGGCCATGCCCCTTACATGTGGTATGTAGCGGAGACAACGAAACTGGTCGCTATACTCCCACATAGTCAGGGAAGTGGGAGTAGAAGGTAATGTGGCACTTCGACAGAATCCTTTATTGCTGAACCTTTAGGTTTGGCTACCCAGGGGAACATGGACTTGGGGGACAGGTGGCTAAGTGGAAGTGCCACAAATCCTAGCCGGAAAAGACCAGCTGCTGCAATTCATTTACGTAATGGTTGCAGCCGTGGGTTCGAATTCGGGCCAGTATCCGTTGACAAACTAAATAGCAGTTATTAACTTTTGCTAGAAATTCCAGAGCCCGAGGTCCATAGCTAGCACATGCATGCAAGTCGGTGATTTTGAGGCTTTTTGACGAAAAATGGACAAAAATGCTAAAAATCACCAACTTGTGCCAGGCATTCTGAGCTCAAATCCATATGGATTCAGGTCAACTAAAGTACGGATAATGTTGCTTTTGTGATTGCTTTCACCCTATATACTGTCAGAAAGTGAATGATGGAAACGACCACCGGCCTCCGGTCCAGGACTTACCTCTATATAATTGCGCCTTTTTCGTGTGTAATGTCCCTCAGTCTTGTCACCTACGATGACTGAGGGGTACGTGTATTGATTTCGTTTCTTTTACTATATTACTTACATGTCCATAGTATCGCGCTATCACGCTCTTAGGTACTATTAATTTAGTCTCGTCACCTACGACGACTGAGGGTATCGCGCTATCGCGCTCTTAGATTTCTGATATATACACCACTCTTGGAAATTTGATGAAACCACAGAGTCGATTTTTCCCACACCCCTAGAATATTTTATTCTGGAAGAATTGTACCCAAATGGTGAAGTTTAAACGGCTCATACACTCTTAAATTTCTCATACTTCATGCTACAATTTATTTGAGGACATTTGGGCCAGAAATGAGCTCAAACCAGCACGTGCAAAACTTTATAGCGCCACTGTATGCGAAGAATGTTAAAAATCAGTCATCCACGTCCCATTCCTCGTTTTCGGCATCCGAAACCACTGGAGCACCTGCTTCTAGCGCGAGTGCTGGACCTGTCATATTCCGCTTCTGTGGAAGTCGGTGAAACTGTAATCCGGCCGCTATGTGGGCTGTACGAGCATTAAGGATTGCCCCGAGAGCTTCTTCTGACCATCAGGCCTCCAGACGGCAGGCGAGGAATAACTTTACCAAGATCGCAGCGAAAATTTGATTTCCTCACGTGCATGATCTCAAGTCCAATTCTTGCTTAATTCGAGTCGTAACTATTGTATATCTCTCAGAAAGCCTCTGCGACGTCTCTAGCAGTCCTTTTAGACCTTATCAATAAATAGCAGGCCTTCCTGAGGGTCCCCAGCTAGAAATGTTATTAGCATGCTATTTATTGCTACGTTACTAGCATGCGAGTTTCCAGCACAGCACTACGAGTCTCTAATGTTATGCAAACCGTAGGTATGCTCTGAAACTCTACCTGGTCCATATTCAACAGGTTGGACCATAATTTCCGCTGAGCCTGCTCAAGCCGTAGGTGAGGGCCTGGCCTGGTTGGGCTTGGCCTAGCGGGCATCACTAGGGAGGAAGCCTGAATTGGGGGCCGCATCCTGTCTATGTATCCCATCCTAAAGGTTCAGCACCCGCCTCGAAGAGGCCTAATCCCACGTCATATCCGAATTATTTATTTACAGCTTGTTCCAAGGTCGTTGGTGTTTCAGTGGATACGGAAAAGCTTGTTTGTAATGTATAAGAATGCATCATTCCATTTCTACAAGAATGCGTGTCATCAACTCAAGCCCTTGAGCCCAGCGAACTGCGTGCAGCCACCACACATCTATGGGCAAAATCACAGAAATCTTTTTACCTCCGTGGCCGAGATGAATCGACTCGCGATGGGGATAGGTGTTACCATCCGACTCCTCAGATGCAAGACCGTATCCTTCCGGAATGACCTCTTCGTCCCACATGCGCTCGAGACCTTGTAAAACAAATAGCCTCAACCTCGGGGCTGAACGGTGAGTGGTGGTCGGGAACTTCAATCGCGGCATGGCGCACGTCGTCCGCTTGATCGTTCTCAATCCGTTCATCTATGTCAGCCCACTCGCCGTCGAGGTCGTCTTCAATGCCGTAGAACTCCTCGAGGACTGCAGGGTGCACGCAGGGCTGATCTTCGCGCACGCCTCCGGAGGGGTTCTTTATATTCACGTGATTTTAGATATGACAGTTTCGTGATGACTACAGAGATTTCGCCTGAATCCCACCACAGAGATTCCTAACCCCGAAACCGAGGTTGGGTAGGAGACTGATCTGGAACTCACCTGCTGCTTCTCACTTTTCCACAGTATGACATGGGATTAGGCCTCTTCGAGTCGGGTGCTGAACCTTTAGGAATAAAGCGGGTAAGGCCGACAAGTGGCACGGCCCGCTACTAATTTGGAGTCTATTCAATTTCAGGTTCAATGCAGACATACTAGTCTGCAAAATCTATTGTTACAGAAGGCGGAATTGAAGGCCGCGTCGACCAGCTCGCATTGGGCCGCTGTAATTTCGCCTAGCTCCGGCTTACATTGGCTGGGTCAAAGAAATTCTTACACTTGGTTGGGCTTCCGAACATACTCTAACCAATCTTATTGGCAACATACGAGGTAATTTTTGTTGTAGCATATGTTTATAAGAGACTACTTTGCCCTCGAGAATTTCTGTCGAACTCACATCCAGCAAGACCCCGTCTAAATCCAGCTTGAAATGATTGCACAGTGGTCAAAACCCTTTTTTGGTGCAAAATCTCGGCATATTGTTTGGTGACGGCCTGCATTTGTTTGGATTGGCATGGAGAGCCCTGAGCTCCTTCTCAAAAGCACCAGGGCCGTCAAAATAAATCTGAAGCGACAGTTTGAACCCAAATTTTGCTGGCTATCCTCCCAGCAAGACCCCGTCAAAATCCGGCTTGAAATGATTGCACAGTGGTCAAAATACTGTTTTGGTGCAAAATCTCGGTGCATTGTGCCGAGGTTCACGTGCATTTGTTTGGTGACAGCCTGCATTT